TTTGCTGTGCTCCTCCTCCAGATTCTGCAATTCCTGTTCAGCCTTATCCACAGCCTTCATCAGATCTTCAAAGGTGGTCCAGCTCCACTTTTTGAGGGCAGTACCAACCTTTTTTTGTTTTTGCCACAAGCAGATGAATGGATCAGGATGTGACTCATTTTTCCAGTTCTCCTTAACAACTTTCAAGAAGTCCTTGTGTTGTGACCATACATTTAGGTATGTAAAAGCACCCTTCTGACAGCAGCTCTTTGGGCTAATGGTGATAACCAAAGGTCTGTGATCTGATCCAACAAGGCTTAAATGGGTGATAGTAGTTTGCAAAAAATTTTGGATCCAGTGGTCATTTGCTAATACTCTATCCAGTCTTTCCCACAAGTTCTTCCTTCTCCATGTGAAGGTAGGTCCACTGTATCGCATGCCAAGTAAGCCAGTGTTTTGAATATTGTCATTGAAGTTTGACAAGATGACAAGATGGGGGTTCTACCCCCCCTCCTTGCGGCAGGTGATGAAATACAATTGAAATCTCCTCCCACAATCTAAGCTTTATCAGTAGAGCCTTGACTGTGTTGAAATGTCTCCCATAGCTCAGATCTAGCTGTTTTGGAGCTTCTTGCATAAACAAAAGAGGCAAATTCATCAATTCCTTGAGTACTGATGCTCATATGAAGGATTTGCTGATGGTTGACTAAGATATTGCACTTCATTTCTTTCCTGCAGAATACCCAAATTTTGTTGTTTAGGTTAGTGAAGAGGTTAAAACCAGGAAACATTTTTGCCATGTTCTTAGTGTTAATATGAACCATTGGTTCCAAAATGGCTAAGCACCAGAATTTGTATTTTTTGTTTAAGTAATTTAATTTTTTTAGTGATAAGGGGTTTGCAATCCCCCTTATATTCCAACATAGCATGTTGATCATGGGGAGGGAGGGAAGGTGGAGGGTTGGGATCTGGATCTAGTCTTTCCCCTTAGTTTGCTTCCTCTTCTTTGGGTGCTGTGATCTTCCATTAAAGCTAATTTCTTTTCCTTTCCTTCTTTCAGTTCTTCTTGTTTAGAGCTTCTTTCCTTCCTGATTTTCTAAATCTGCCATTCTAAATCCAATTCTTTGTTTAGTTCTATGACTATGTCATATGTAGGGGGTGCCACATCCTCTCTAGCCTCCTGGTCCCTTGTGTTCTTTGTTGCCTTTGTTGAAACCCTTAAAGTGTCTTTCACTGAAGTAGTCTCATTCTCAATATTTCCTGTCTCCACAGTCTCACCCACTGATTCACCCTTCTTATCAAGAGAGATCACAGCTGGCTGAGCCTGGGGAGTGCTTTGATTAATAGTTGGGATGTTTGTGTTAGCAATCCCAGCCTCCCTGGGGTTCTGAAGATAGTCTTCTTTGCTGTTCTCTCTTAGTAGATAAGTGTGTTCAGTGGTTGGTTCTGGCTGTGTATATGTTGTTTTCCTTCTGTTAGGTGGGTGAAGCCTGTAACATTTCTCCCTAGTATGGCCAAACATCTTGCAATGAGAACAGTAATGGGGTCTTTTCTCCATGAAAACATCTTGCCAAAACCCCTTCAATGAGTCTCCAATCCAGATCCTTTTGACATCAGGTAGAGTTACATCCCTCTCCACCAAAATTTTGGCAATGGCTGGCCTTGCCTGGCAATAGCTGGCCTTGCTTTATTGTATCTAGCAGCATCCACCTGCAAGGGTATTCCTAATGTGTAGCCAATGTTGAATAATGCATTAAGTTTAAAGAGATGCAAAGGTAGTTTTGGTAGTTTAAACCAAATTGGCACAGTAAGGGGCTCCTGAGAAGGGTCATATTCAGGGGTCTATTTTAGGATTTTCATTTCAGCTTCTGCAATGATTATTGATTATTTGGCAAATATTCTAGCATAATCTTCCTACTTTGTCAGCTGGATGATGAGGTGTTTGCCATCCAATAAACCCAGCTTCCAGTTAGCTATATTCAGTGATTCAAAATAATTCCTCACAAGTTCCATTTTTGGGTGCCCCAGGCTGAACGTTCCAATCAGTGTGAACTTGACTTCCAGGTTTAGTTCTTCAAGGTCTTATTCTGTAAAAACAGGAGCTGGTTCTCCATTCTTAGAGCCCACAGAATGTATGCAAGAGGCAAAACCCCTTCCAGCAGCAGTACTGTCGAAATCTTTAGGGAAAACTAGTTTATCAGGGTCCAACATGGAAGAAGAAGACTTTCCCACATCCCATGCATAAGTAGCTTTATTCCATTGCCAATTGGTCTCCAGAACAATAGGGGTAGCCATAGACTCCAGCAGCAACACCCTACCAGGTGTTCCAACCACTGGAGAATAGAAAAGTAGATGAAGGGCTTCCCAACTTGGTCAGCAACAATGGAACAGTAACTGAACAGAAAAAACTTCCAAAGAAAAGCAACAACAAAGAAACCAGGAAGCACCAACCAAAACAAAAAATAAGAGCACTTCTTAATGGGAGAGCAGACTTCTTCCCATAGCTTACAAGCCTCACAAGCAGGGCCATCACCACCCAAACCCTAGCAGAGCAACTCTAGGGTCAGCCGCCAGCCCCATCTTATATATATATATATATATATATATATATAATAGCAGCTGGACCAAGCTTCGCTCTGCTAGGGTTTGGACATTGATGACTTTCTCTGGAGGCACCGTGGAGCTTGGGGGAGGTGTTGTGATCTTCTACAAAGATTTTGTCTAGATTAGAGTCATATTTGGGTGTTTCTTTTTGTTTGAGCTTTCCCAAGCAAGAAGTTTTTGAATTTTTGTTGTTGTTCCTTTGCTAGCTTGAAAAACTTGCTAAATAGGTTACCAATCCATTGCTTTCCTGACCTGGTGGACTGAGTATTTTAACTTGGGATGGACTTTTTGGTTTAGAATTTTATTTACTTCTTGTTTTAATAGTAGTTTTTTATTGTGCTTCTGGTTTTCTATCCTTTTCCTGATTTCTGTTTTGGTTTTTTATCAAATGCTTGTCCCATTGATGTTAAAATCAATGTCCAATGGGTAAAGGCCACTTTTGCTGATGTAGTTGGGAGTGGGGTGGAGTTCCCTAAATATTTTGAGCATTTGGTATTTCCACAGAACCTGCATTATGCTGCTACATGTAGGGAAGTTTGCTCTTTTGTTAATGCTTAGGGGAGAAAGAAGGGGAACCTGCCATTCTTTTCTCTACATAAAAGATTCATGATCTTAATGCATCTATCATGTTCACTTTAATAGGAAAATTCCAATATTGACACCCTAAGATGGACTTTCTAAGGAGATATTTTAGATGAGTAAAAGCTTAAGAGCTCATGGATGTTGGGGTTATTAGATGGCAGTCATCGGCTAATTACTGTTTTCACAGAGTAAGATTATGCTAGAGTTTTTGGTAAATAAACATTGGTTATTAATGGAATCTATATGAAATTGATGAAGTGGACACCTGGTTTTGACCCTACTAAGGAACCTCCAATGGTTCCTATTTGGTTCAAATTCTCTAACCTTCTTATACAATTTTAACATCAAAATGTGCTATTTAGCAACATTAGAGTACTTGGTTGCCCTTTGAAAGTTGATTCTCCAACTTATAATATGGAAAGGCTTGCTGGTGCTAGAGTCGTTGTAGAAAGGGACATAACACTCCCAGATATTGAAAGGGTTTGGATTGGAACAAAAGAGGTGAAGAGGAAGGTTTCTGACAAAAGGATAGTGGTGGAACAAAAACCTATTTATTGTCACCATTGTAAAATGTTTGCTCACAACTTGGAGAAGTGCTATAGACTTCATCCTCCCTCTAAAAAGAAGATTTCAGTGGAGAAGACTGCTGCTTCTAGGAATTTAGAAGTAGCAGAACAAGCAGAGATAAGAAGGGCTGAAGCTATAGTTATAGACGCTGATACTACTGTAATTGGGACTGACCTGCCTATTGTTGATCAGATGGAAAATAATGTCATTTTATAATGTCATTTCTCACTGACAATAGATCATTGGAAACTACTATACGAGATGAAAACTTATTGAATATTAATCATATTAGGATTGATGAGCCCATAATAAACATTTTAACAGATGTTTTAACAGATGATTGGTAGGTTCAGAGAAGCAATAGGAAAAAGAAAGGAAAATTAGATGGTAAACATCCATTGGATGGGCCTTCCAATGCCCAACCTATGACTAGATGGAAGTGGAGGACCTTTCTCAATGATTAAGTGCTTGTGTTGGAATATCAAGGGTATTGCTCACCCCTCATCTCTCAAGATATTACTACAACTTGTTAGAATTCATAAAGCTTGGTGTTTTGTTATTTTGGAACCCTTGGTCACTAAGCATTCCCATAAAGATCTAAAAAAATTTCCCAAATTCACTCATGTTGCTAATTCTAATAATAAGATCTGACACTTTGCTAGAGCTAAACCTAAGTGGACTGTACTGTAGAATCATTCTCAATTAATTCATATTCAATTTACTATTGGAGCTCATGTTGGTTATGCAACTTTTATCTAGGCTAGCAGCATTGCACATCATCAGATTACTTTATGGTCTTGCCCAATACAAATTGGGCAATCGATTAATTCTTTCTGGATTCTAAGGGGAGATTTTATATGTGTTTCATCTTCTAGAGAAAGAAGAGGTGGAAGACCCCCTTTATTACTTGCCATGAAAAGATTCAATGACTTTCTGGCTTATGCTTCCTTGATTGACTTGGGTTACCAAGGTCAAGAATTTACTTGGAGGAGGGTTCCATGTGGGAAAGGCTGGACAGAATGTTAGGGAATTCTAGATGGCTTCATACATTCCCTTTTACTCTTATTTCTCACCTTGCCATGTCTAGCTCTGATCATAGACCTCTTCTTTGCTCTATTCAAAATGCTGAGAGTCCCAAAAGATCACTTTTCAGATTTCAAAACATGTGGATTCTCCATCCTAATTTTATTGAGAAAATTGCTAAGGTATGGAGGCATACTGGTGATGTTAATCTCTGGATCAAGCTTTGACAACTGCAAAAGAAAGTGGTAGCTCATCAACAGCAATGGAAATGGAATACTTTTGGAAATATACATGAAAATTTGATTGTTGCTCAGAATAAAGTTCTAAATATGGAAATTGAGGTTAAAAGGGGAGTTTGCTCTGAGTTTGATCTGCACAAAGCTAATGAGGAACTTTTGATGCAAATTAATTATTCTAAACATTTTCTGAAACAGAAGGCTGCAGTTACTAAATTCACTGTGGGAGATAGAAACTCTAGCTTTTATAATGCTTGTAATAACTTCAGGAGAAAGAACAAAATGATTTTATCTATCACTGATTATAATGGCCATTGTTTGTCTGATGATGATGCTGTTGCCCAAGATGTTGTCTGTCACTTTCATGACATTTTCAATGATCAGCCAACCTCTAGAACCCAGATAAATACTGAGCTATTATCTGATTGTTAGGAGTATTTCAATAGGTTGCAACTAAATAAAATTCCTTTGGAGGATGAAATTAAAGCTGCTTTAGACTCTATTGATGGCTAAAAAGTGGTTGGACCTGATAGCTTTACTGCTAACTTCTCTAAGACTTTTTGGCCAATCATTTGTGGTGAATTTATAGCTGCAGTGCAAAATTTCTTTCAGGGGATAAATCCTCCTAGCTATTTCATTGCTTCCACTATAGCTCGGATTCCAAGGAATTCTATCAGGAAAGGTTGGGGAGATTTTGGACCTATCAGCCTAAGAAATGTTCTTTCTAAAGTAACCAACAAGATCATTATTAATAGGCTCTAACCACATCTTCAACAAGTTATCGGTATTAATAACATAGCTTTTGTTAAAGGGAGGAATATCACTAAAAACATTCTGCTGGCTCAGGAGCTCTTGTTGGATCTAGACAGAAAATGTAGAGGTAGTAATATCATATTCAAATTGGACATCAAAAAAGCCTATGATACCATGGGCTGGGATTTTATTTTGGATACTCTGACTGCTAGGGGCTTCTCTAGGGATTTCACCAACCTTATCAGAATATGTCTTAATTGCAATAATCATTCTATTCCAATTAATGGGCAAAGCCATGGTTTCTTCATTGCTTCCAGGGGAATCAAATAAGGAGACCACTTGTCTCCCACAATCTTAATTTTGGCAATCGATTATCTTTCAAGGCTTCTTAATCAAATGTTTGGTTCTTCCCCTTATTTGAATTATTAGCACAGCTCTAATATAGGGGTTAGTCTCCTATCATATGAAGATGATGTTATTATTTTCTCAAAGGCCACAATGACGGCTGTGAAGACCTTATATAAAGGACTCAAAAACTTTCCACAGACTTCAGGTATGATGAGCCTAAACAAACAGACATGTCAAATTTTTCTTAGCTCACATACTCTTCCATAGATTAAGCATTAAATTGCCCAGTACATTGGTTTTAGCCTAGTCTTTTTGCCTATCAACTATCTTGGAGTTCAGTTAATTAAAGACAGAACCAAGCAAATTCAATTTATATGCATAAGTTTGGACTTGAAAATATTATACCCTACGATTCGGAATTAGAACGCACTATTAGAAGTATTAGAAAATTAATAAGAACCTAGAACTTCTAACACAATGGAGAACAACGTAAACAATCAAAGAATAGAAAATGAATACAAACCTAGACCCCTACGAGATTATGCAAATCTTACAGCAGATGAAATTCACCTATCTATCCACTATCTATCCAAAATCATCTATCCAAAATCCTGATGTAGCTGCTAATTCATTTGAGCTTAAACCTGCTATTATCCGAATTGTACAAAATAGTCAATTCAGAGGTACACCAAATGAAGATCCTAATTTACACCTCGCTAGTTTTTTAAAACTTTGTGCTACCTTTAAATATTATAGAGTTTGAAACGATGTTGTTAGAGTTAGACTTTTTACTTTTTAACTTAGGGATAAGGCTAAGATGTCGTTAAAGTTGTTAGCACCTCGATCTTTTAGAACTTTGGGAGAACTTTCACAGAAATTTCTATCCAAATATTTTCCTCCATCCAAAACTGCTAAACATAGAAATGACATAATATCATTTTGTCAGATTGATGGAGAGTCGATATATGAAGATTGGGAGAGATTTAAAGATCTTCTTAGGAAGTGCCCGCATCATTTGTTACCAGATTGGTTGATAATTCAAACTTTTTATAATGGATTAGTGGGATCACTTAGATTCATTATAGATGCTGCGGCTGGTGGTTCTTTAATGTCAAAACCCTTTGATGAGGCATATTTGTTAATAGAAGAGATGGCTACCAATAATTTTCAATGGCCCTCTAAAAGGCTAAATCCTAAAAGAGTAGCTAGTATCCATGATTCTGATGCAATATATATGTTAGCTTCGCAGATTGTTGTAATATCAAAGAAATTAGATCATTATGGAATGAATTATTCTCCAACACCTACTATGATGGAAGAGAAGTCATCTAGGCAATTTGTGGATGTGCAACCTTCTTATGAGACTTTAAATGCTATTAATAATAGGCCCAACAACCCTTATTTGAACTATTATAGCACAGGTTGGAAGAATCATCCAAATTTAAATTGGAATAACAATTCTTCTGCAAATCAATAATGGGCGAACAACCAAGTGAACCCATTGGGAAATTCATCCAACCAAGGAAATGTTAATTATAGACCATCTTATCCTCCAGGATTTAACAGAAATTTAAGAAAAGAAGTTGTTTATGGAAGAGATGGTAATAAACATGGGTCAACAATTCTAGAATCAAGGAATTGCTATTAAGAACATTGAAAATCCATTGGGGCATATCGTTACTGTGCTTAGTAACCAAACATTAGGAACTTTTCTAGTACTGTGGAACCAAATCCTAAAGATCAAGGAAAAGAACAGATAAAAAGATACAATTATGAAGTGGAAAAGAATTAGAAACAAGAGTACAGAAAGAAATATAAACTGAAAAAGATAAAATGGATATAGAAAAAGAAAAGGATCATGAATACCCAGATTTAAAATATTCACTTACACCAATGAAAATTATTGTGGAGAAACCTCGACCACTAATTCCTCAAAGATTAAAGCAACACAAACAGAATAAATAATTTTTCAAGTTTTTAGAAAATCTAAAGAAATTAACGGTAAATATTCCCTTCATAGAGTCTTTAGAGCAAATGCCCAATTATGTGAGGTTTATGAAAGATATTTTGAACAAGAAAAGAAAAGGAAGTTCACTAATAATGAGACTGTTACACTTAGCGAAGAGTGTAGTGCAATTATACAGAAAAAGCTTCTTAAGAAATTAAAAGATCCAGATAGTTTCACTATACCGTGTGCTATCGGTGAAAATATTATGGAAGAGCTTTATGTGATTTGGGAGCCTGCATTAATCTTATGCCTTTATCAATCGTCAAAATATTTGGATTAGGAGAAGACTCACCAACTTCTGTAACTCTTCAGTTAGCGGATCATTCAGTTACTTATTCTAAGGGAGTTACAGAAGACATCTTAGTAAAAGTTGATAAATTTATCTTTTTTGTGGATTTCATTGTTTTATATATGGAGGAAGATAAAGAAATACCAATCATTTTAGGGAGACTGTTTTTAGCTACTCAAAAAGCTATGATAGATTTTCAAAAGGGAGAATTAACTATGAGATTTAACGATCAAGAAGTGACTTTTAACATTGCAAAATCTATGAAAGGCCCTGCTGTTGAAAGAGATAATGAATGTTTTTGCATGGAAATAAGTGAACATCTCTTGAACAAGCATTTTAAAGAACATTTTGAAGAGAAAGAACAATTTGAAGATAGTGATGATGTTATTTTGGACAAAATAGAAAATGAAGAATTAGATTATGTTCAGGGAAGATTTGAGATGCTGGATATTATAGAAAATGCTGATAAGAATCTATTTCCATCAATTATAAAACCACCTGAACTTGAGTTAAAAATATTGCCTAACAACTTAAAGTATGTGTTTCTGGGAGACTCATCTACACTACCTATTATTATATATTTAGAATTAAATGATTTGCAAGAGCAAATACTTTTGGAAACATTAAAAAGATATAAAAAAGCTTTTGGTTGGACCTTAGCTAATATTAAGGGAATAAGTCTTTCGATCTGTATGCACAGAATTTTACTAGATGAAATATATAAACCAAGAGTTGATCCACAAAGGAGATTAAACCTAATGATGAAAGAAGTAGTCAAGAAGGAATTTTGAAATGGTTGGATACTAGAATTATATATCCTATTTCAGACAGTGCTTCCGTAAGTCCAATTCATTATGTTCCTAAGAAAGGAGGAGTGACTGTTGAAACAAAAGAGAATAATGAATTAATACCTATCAGACAAGTTACTGGGTGGCGTATTTGGATTGATTATAGAAAAATAAACACTGCCACTAGGAAAGATCACTTCCCTTTACCATTTTTATACCAAATAGTAGATAGACTTGCTGGGCACAATTTTTTTTGTTTTTTAGATGGATATACTGGTTTCCATCAAATTCTTATTGCTCCTGAGGATCAAGAAAAGACAAAATTTACAAGTCCATTTGGAACTTTTGCTTTTTGAAGAATGTCTTTCGGATTATGTAATGCACGTGCAACATTCCAGAGATGTATGATGTCTTTATTTAGTAAGTTAATTGATGATGGATTGGAAGTATTTATGGATGATTTCTCTGTATTTGGAACATCATTTGATGCATTCTTAAATTATCTTGAAAAAGTTTTGGAGTTATGCGAAAGAACTAATTTAGTTCTAAATTGGGATTAGACACTGCCACTGGGAAAGATCACTTCCCTTAACCATTTTTAGACCAAATAGTAGATAGACTTGCTGGGCACAAATTTTTTTATTTTTTAGATGGATATATTGGTTACCATCAAATTCTTATTTCTTCTAAGGATCAAGAAAAGACAACATTTACTAGTCCTTTTTGGAACTTTTGCTTTTTGAAAAATGTCTTTTGGATTATGTAATGAACGTGCAACGTTCCAGAGATGTATGATGTCTGTATTAAGTAATTTAATTGATGATGTATTGGAAGTATTTATGGATGATTTCTCTGTATTTGGAACATCATTTGATGCATGCTTAAATTATCTTGAAAAAGTTTTGGAGTTATGCGAAATAGCTAATTTAGTTCTAAATTGGGAGAAATGTCAATTTATGGTTGCAGGAGGAATTATGTTAGGGCATAAAATTTTGGAAAATGCTATGGAAGCAGACCCTACAAAAATTCAAGTTATATCTAAATTAACAACTCCTATTAATGTAAGAAAGGTTAGGAGTTTTCTTACAAATGTTGGTTTTTACAGGCGTTTTATTAAAGATTTTTCAAAAATTACTAAACCTCTATGCCAACATTTAGAGAAGGACAAGAAATTTGAATTTACAAAAAACTGTTTAAATGCCTTTGATTTATTATAAGAAAAATTAATCACAGCTCCTATTATTGT